TGGAATTGGATGGTGATGGAGTCAACGCCTTGCATTTAATTTCAATGCTGGACACATTACCGGTCACTTTTGTTTCATTCTTGGCCGAGGCAGTCAGGCGCAGTGAATGGGATGAGAAAGTAAGATCAGATTCCTCGACTTTGGCTAATGAAATGGCAAATTTCCAAGAAGAAGAAACGAGGCGACGACGCAAGTGGCAGAAGAACATCGGGGCTACTTTGTGGGATGAAAAGCCCGAGACGCAGGTCATGGCTCTGGAAGTTGTCTTGCATGGGGAAGAGGATGATTGGCCTCAAGCTTCTCGACGGGATTTAGAAGACATTTTGGCAATCCTTAGGGCTGAAAATCTTAAATCACCGATGCTTAGCGACATTTCGAGAATCATTTCGGATCTCAACAACCCAACGAGACAGCAAAGTAAGAGGGCAAATGCCTTTAAGGCGGGAAGTATTCACGAATCAGCTCTTGGTAAAAGTGCTCTTTTAATGCGCGGGGACGACGAAGCCTTGAAAAGCATGCAAGATGAAAAGTCAAAGCTTGAGAACAAATTGAGAACCGCTGAAAGTCGAATTCGAAGGCTTGAGGATCTATTGCATCGGCAAACTCAAGCCAACAGGACTTCAATCGGAAACGTGTTTTCAGTACCCAATACTCCTAGCCCTGATGTTCACAGTGTGGCAAACCCCATACCATCACGCCCGAATGACGACTCTCGTCGGTCTTCGATCTCATCCCGACGCTTTTCTGCGAATCGAGGTGAGGAAGAAGCAGCCTTCCAGCAAAAGCTACTTTCTTTGGAGGCGGAGTTGATTACTGAACGTGAGCGCGCTTCAGGTTTGGAGAAAGAGGTTGCTGCCCAGAATACCTCAGCAAACGAGTTAAAGTCTCAACTTGAAGAAGTGAATTCCATGAAACACGACCTTTCGGAGAACTTCAAAGCACAGCAACAAGATTTCATTGATGAGCGCAAAGCTTTGAATGACGACATCAAGCGCTACAAGGCAAAACTAGAAGAGTTGGAGGATGAGATGGATAGATATCTCGGCTCCAGAGAGAACGAGAAGTCCGGTGTTGATGATCGTGTTCGTCTCTTACAAGATGAACTGGATAAATTACGAAAGGATAGTGCCGCAGAGGCCCAAAAGGCTCAAGGTCAGGTTGACTTCTTGAGAAACGATGCAAAATTGCAGAGGGAGACCAATGAGACTTTGGAAAGGCAAATGCAGATTCTCAGAGAAGAGAAGAAGGAACTATTATCCCGCACGATCCAGGCAGAATCGGCTGCTGAAGATCAGTTGAAGACTTTGCAAGAAATCCATTTGCAGTTATCACCCAAGTTGAGGATGCCACAAGAGTTCACAGCCCTCTCGGGATCGTTGACCAACAAATCACTGGGCTTGATATCCGAGCTTGAAAATACGAAGCGCGATTACAACCTTGCGAAATCTCAGCGGGATGATGCAGAAACGACGATTTCGGAGCTGAGATCCGAACTTGCGGATTACGAGGAGAAGTTTGCTACCGAAGAGAAGGAATCGCAATCCTTGCGCGAAGAATTAGCATCCGAGAGAGCCAAGTACTCTGCTCTGGAAGCCGAGCTCACTGATGAACGCCTCCAATTAAGCTCCATAAGAACCAAGATGGCAGATGGCGAAACAGGATCTGAGGCTCTACGTAATCGTCTGGAAGAGGAGGAACGCAAAGTTACATCTCTGTCAGAGGATCTTGCTAGACAGCTTTCTCGTGTCGGAAGTCTTGAGGAAGAGATAAGATCACATCAAGACAAGCACCAATTTTCACAAGAAAGATTCGAGAGATTGAACGACCGATTCGATTCACGCACTTCGCGTGCAAAAGACCTTACACAACGAGTGTATTCTCAAAATGATAAGCTTGTCCGACTACTTGAGCGTTTGAGTTATTCAGTCACCAAAGACAATGGCTCAATGATCATCCAGAAATTACCAAAACCTGATCGTAGCATGATAAACGGTAATGATTCCTCAGATGCTGGAAATAAGCTCAGGCGAAGCATGACAGGTTCGACAACAATGAAAGCCATGGTCGATAGTGGAGACCTTGACCTTTTGTATTGGATGCACAATGACGATCCTGAAACAGAAAGTGAGAAGTATGACGCTTACATCAATTCCATCGGTAGCTTCGATATAGATAACTTTTGTGAGGTCATTGCAAAGCGAGTTAGGGACATGGAATACACAGCCAAGAAATATTCCAAAGACGCTCGTGCTTACCGGGAGAAGTCTCACAGAGCTCAAAAGGAAGCCCATGAGAAGATTGCTTTCAAGAATTTCAAAGAAGGTGATCTAGCCTTGTTTCTGCCAACAAGAAATCAATCCACCGGGGCATGGGCAGCATTCAACGTTGGCGCTCCTCATTACTTCCTTCGAGAACAAGATTCTCATAAGCTCCGCTCTCGCGATTGGTTATTAGCTCGAATCCATAAAATTCAGGACAGAGTAGTTGATCTTTCCAAATCCATCACGGATGGTCGTTCCTTCGCAAGCACAGGCGACTCCTTCGATGACGATAACCCATTCGATCTTTCCGATGGTCTTCGTTGGTATCTCATTGATGCCTCGGAGGAGAAACCAGGTGCTCCATCTACACCTGGTCTCGCCAAAAGCACAGTCGCTAGTGCAAATATAGATGCAACAGCTACGATTCGTCGCCCGAAGAAATCATCCAGCACGGGTGCTGAGGGGCTTAATAAAACCCTGGCGAAGAGTCTGGATAGTAGAAGAAGCAGTAGTAACTCCAAGAAAGCTATTCAGATTGCTGCGTCGCCGTTGAGGAAAACGGGCTCGACGGCTTCAGTTAGTGGTTTGAGAAATGAAGCGATCGGGGATGCGATGGATTCCGCCGTTGTAAAGAATGGTGATGGGGGCACCAATGCAGCAGCTACTTCTGCTACTCCTGAAGCAGTAAACAATGAGGTTCGAAATCCTTTGGATAATCTCTTGGGTCCTTGATCTTCATCTCTATCTTGATCCTGTTGTCTATCTGTCTTGTATCGCTTTCAGAGTTCTTTACGTCAAGAATTGTGAACGCTCGCCCATTGTATTGCATATTGTGTTATACTCTTTCTATTTGCAAAATGAAGCTTGTAGCAGGACATACGCTGATAGTGCGATGGTGTTCTAGAATGTTCACAATGGCCATGGGTATCCTGCAGCTTTGGGCACAGGCTTTGGAACAACTGGGAGTACTCTTGGAAGGGAGTATTCGATGGGAGATTCTAGCACAGAAAATGGAGCAATGGAGGAAGTAAGAGAAGAGCGAAGTGCATCACCAAACAAGCTTAGAAGATCAATGATATGGGACTCTTTATGGTCGATTGATCTTAGTCTGGAGAGAGGAAGAGGAGGAGGATTTTAATTACGGAAATGGGAAGAAGGAATTGTATGATACGAATATTGACTGATAAATGGCGAAGATTAATAACATGGCGCAACATGACATTGCAATTGGAATCTGCAATGCGGGAGCGGGAGCATGGATGGAGATATACATCAATCGGAGTGAAGGATCAGACCATAAAATATGCTGGGACTAGAACTACTCATGCGTGATGCATCGATCAGTATGCTGAATGAGAGATGGATCTGTATATGGATACGGACGAACTTAGGTACTTATGTATAATAAACCACATCACATTATCGGACCCCAGCAACCTGGGAACCGAGAATGGAGATTAGATTTGGGAATAGGAAGGGATACTGGGAAATAGGAAGGAATAAGGAAGAAAGTGTTTATATATAACCCTCGAGTCGTCACTTATAGATAATCTTCTCGTTATATCATATCATATCACATCAAATTGTATTATATGGTATCGTATCGTATCACATATGCATTAGTATATATACAAACACTTGATTATTTTCCATTCTTCTGATCCTCAACTTCTCAACTTCTCAACTCCAGCCTAATTTATTTCCTCACTATCTAGAGTCAATCAATCAAACGAACAAACCACTCAATCTCCAAAATATCAAATTATTACAATTACATTACAATCTACTTAATACTTACTTTACTTAATAACACCTTCAAATATACGCAGTAGGATTATCTAGTATCTAGTATACGTATCTAATATCTAGTATCTACCATCCTACTAACCCGAGTATCCGATATACAACTACAACTACAACTACAACTAACTTCCAAGTAACCTCATTATAACAATCTTCCTGGGTTGTGATTGATACTATACATACATACATACATACATACATACATACATACATACATACATACATACATACATACATACATACATACATACATACATACATACATACATACATACATACATATATACATACATATATACATACATACATATACATATATACATACATACATACATACATAGGCAGATATAATGGTTTTGTTTACATAGGCATGGGATTAGACATTAGCAATGATCCATTTAGCAACTTAGCTAGCTAGCAATATTGTACGGCCATGTTTCCATTCGATTCGTCTTGTCCCATATAGCCAATCTCTTTATACACGCTGTTTTCTCTTCTGTCAAAGTAGGAACTGAATAGGAGATCCGCAACCCTATGCTCATGGATAACCTCAATCACTGTTGAAGATTCTCATTGTCCAGAGAAATTCAAAATCAATTCTACAATCAAAATCACAATCACAATCAAATGCATGAACGAAACGTATCCACTGTGAACATACAATGTATATTCTACCCAAGCACAATTATGCTCTAATGTCAAGGCAAAAGGCCGACCTCTACTACTTGACCATGGTTGAAGAGCCAAGTAACGCCCGCTTTATAAAATTCATCCATAAACCCTTTATGTTGAAACTTTTCCCTTGTATATCCCCTTTATATGCCGTTGAAGGTCAAAATGCTTTTCCCCGGTATCATTGCAATCATTACTCATGTTGAAAGATTTAACCACAGCTCCCCTGTAAACAAAAAAAATGAAAACCCATATAAACATAATCTAGTATCTGTAGATCTCAGCCTTGAATGGTCCCTCAACCTCAAGTCCAAGGTACTCGGCTTGAACTGGGGTCAATTTGGACAACTCGGCGTTGACGTGTGCCAAATGGAGCTTGGCAACGGTCTCGTCCAAGATCTTTGGGAGAACGTAGACACCAACCTCGAGCTTTTGGGTCTTGCCGAACTCGACATACTTTTGGCCGAAAGCCTCATCCTCGCACTTGAACAACATGATTTGAGCAAGGACTTGGTTGGTGAAGGAGCAGGACATAACGAAGGAAGAGTGACCGGTGGCACATCCCAAGTTAACGAGACGACCCTCAGCGAGGAGGATGATGTGACGACCGTTCTTCATGAGGTATCTGTCGACTTGGGGCTTGATGTTTTGAACGCTAGCAGCGTTTGCCTTCAACCAGGCAACGTCAATCTCAATATCGAAGTGACCAATGTTGCAGACGATAGCATCATTTGGCATGGCCTCGAAGTGCTCACCAGTCAAGATGTCTCTGCATCCAGTGGTGGTAACGAAGATTTGACCTTGGGAAGCAGCCTTCTCCATTGGCATGACTTGGTATCCGGAAACAGCAGCTTGGAGAGCGTTGATAGGATCAATCTCAGTGACAATGACACGAGCACCCATTCCGTGGAGAGCCATAGCACAACCCTTTCCGACATCACCGAAACCGGCGACAACGGCAACCTTACCAGCAATCATGACATCGGTGGCACGCTTGATACCATCGACCAAAGATTCACGGCATCCGTACAAGTTGTCGAACTTTGACTTGGTGACGGAGTCGTTAACGTTGATAGCTGGGACAAGGAGACCCTTGTTCTTCAACATCTTGTACAAGTGGTGAACACCAGTGGTGGTCTCCTCAGAAACACCGTAGCAGTCCTTCAACATCTCTGGGTATTTGTTGTGTACGAGTTGAGTAAGATCTCCACCGTCATCGAGGATCAAGTTCAAGCTCTTGCCATCCTTGAAGGAAACGAGTTGTTGTTCCAAACACCAGTTGTATTCCTCCTCGGTCTCACCCTTCCAGGCAAAGACTGGGACACCGGCAGCAGCAATAGCAGCAGCGGCATGGTCTTGGGTGGAGAAAATGTTGCATGATGACCAGGTAACCTCAGCTCCGAGGAATGTGAGGGTCTCAATCAAGACAGCAGTTTGGATGGTCATGTGTAACTATAACAGCTTCGTTAGTCTTCGAATCTGATTGATACAGTAGCAAGAGAATACGTACACATCCAGCAATACGGGCACCCTTCAAAGGTTGATCGGCAGCATACTTCTCACGAGTGGCCATCAAACCTGGCATCTCATTCTCAGCGAGCTCAATTTCCTTGCGACCGAAGGCAGCAAGACTGAGGTCAGCGACCTACAAGTATACAAATTAGCATAAGTGAATCAGCAATTCATAATGGGAGCTTTATTTACCTTGAACTTGGATGCTGGGGCAGACATTTTGGGTGAGGAAAAGATGATATTGAGGGAGATAGATACTGAAAGATAAGAGTCAATTCAAAGTTTCCAGAGTGAAGAAGGATGAGTGCGAAGATTGGGACAGAGATGCCTTTTAATACTTACATTTGTTTTTAAGGGTGGAGATAAAAAGAAGAGGCGAGGTAGAGAAGAGGAGATGAAATGGGAGGATAAACAGAAAAACTTCGGGGGGCCGACGCTTCAACTAGTGATGGAGGGGTGAGAAGAAGGAAAATTCAGCGCTAAGCCAAATCAGGTTAGATGCGTAATCCCTGAGTACCAAAACCCAACAATAGGAAACGTTTGACAAAGAGATAGACATTAGATATCACTGTTCGGTGGTTCAGACTTGCATTGTTGCAGAAATACTATTGGATTTACATGAGTTGTTCAAATGTAGCTGGACTGTACTCGTATGTAACATACAATTACTCCGTAGGTACGAGCAGTATTGAATATAATAATGAACAACAAGAGCAGATTCTCTTCAATAAGTGAATGATCCTTATACTTTGCTGGCCAGATCTTCTAGCTAGTAGACAATTAGAGGATCTAGCCGAACACCGTCGCTTCGGTCGTCGGCCAACATGGTGTCTAATAGGTATGTGTACTCCGTACGTGGTCGACAAACAGATGAAGAGTCCTTGGATTGCCATACCTACCTAGGTAGAGGTAGCTACTACTCACATACCATATGATCGTTCAGTGAGGTGAGGCTTGTGAGCGATGTGAGCAAAGTCAAGTGAAGTGATAACTAAGTACAAAATTCAGGGTCAACATCAACATGGAATTTAAATTAGACATGTGGGTATCACTGATAGCAAATAGTAAAAGCTTGTAAGTGGGGTTGAGTTGCACGTTGGTGGGTGGACAATATCAAAAGTCCGTGCATTTTGGAGGAATATACGAGATATCTATACATCCATAAGAAAAAAAGAGTTCTCAAGGTGTTGTCTATCGTTCCTTTTTTGATCATGAATATGATCCCACATATTGACATATCCCTCTGAACGCCATGCCCATGCAAGAAATCCCTCATAAGTGCCCTAGCTAGCAACCTTAATGTCCCTACTACCAGCTGCATTACATACGTTTCTTTTTAGTTTTGTTCTGGTAAGAGGTTGCTCTTTACTGCAAACATCTTTCCGGTGATGCTAGCAGTGAATCCGTCCACCTGTCTTGAATATTGCTCAACTTGTCGTGCGTTCAACATACCCTCCAATCTGCTTGGTTCTGTTGGGAGCTTGAAGAGTCTTTCCCACTCATCCTCAGGTAGAGGAGCAAGTTTCTGTGTAGCTCTAGTAGCATTCTCCGCTGTACGCTTTGCCTTCCATGCTGTGACCTTGGCTTGCTCACGAGTCAATTGTCTTTGGAAGTATTGGAAGTTGTTGAGCTCAGTGTAATGAGTTTCTATGCTGTCCAAAAGCATATCACAGGTTCGCTCCAAGTAAGGATCAATAGATAAGTCCAAAGATTCCATGTTAGGATAAAGAGGAGTTGGCGGTGTGTTTCGGTTGAGGTCTGCGAAACTTGCGGGGAATTCAAGATCCTTCTTTGGTAATTCGACTGGCATTTGGTGCAAGAAAGAGGTCAAGAGATGGGAGTTGTGGACGATGATAGGTAATTCGACCAAGATGTCTTTGTATGTGAGCTTCGACTTTTGCATGCTAATATCTTGTCAGTATTGACCTTGTTATGGCATATCGTATGAACCTACTTCTCAGTGGTGAATTTACCCTCCTTGTACGCGGCCATGAAGGTTGGGGAAAGTCTGAAAGCACGTAGACTCAAAGCACCTTGGGAACTTCTGCTGACATCGTGGACAAGCGCGACAGTTCTCTCATTTGGTTCCTTTTGGTAGAAGAATTGGTTTTCGATCAGGCTGGTGTTGATAAAATTTCCCATGTTTGCACTCGTGTACCATCCGACGTTGTTTGCATCGACATTGACTTCCTTCAACATTTTGATCATCTCACTCTGGTAAATGACATTGGCTTTCGATCTTGGAGCTGCGGCAGCGATGTTCGAGGCGGCCATGTGGTCATTTGGGTGGGAATCCGAGGCAGTAACGTCCGTCGTGGGGAATGGGAAGGAATTTGTGATTTGGAGAGTTCCGTTCGAGTCCATACCAACGATCGATCCAGTAGCTGTGGTTGGGTAGGTTGCGGCACAAGCCTTTACAATCTTCATAACAACCTACATATCCTATTAGCCACAATTTTCGATGTCTTGCTTGTGATATAGTCCCTACCAATGCCTCAACTTGTACTGAGTGCAAAGGCACCTCTTTGCTAGCAATATCCGCCATGATGAAATATGGTTCAAATTCGTGATCGTTCGATTACGAATAATTACTGGCAATATTTCGATAGGATCTGGCGCAAATTCGAAGGGTTCCGCGTCCAGTAGTCGTTGTCGCAAAAAGGTGGGTTATTTTTTGAGGATGGATTCTATTCATTTGTGTGCGAAGTCTTGGCGTTTTTTTTACACTAGCGATGACGGGAATCTTTAACCCCGCGCGCGAATCTTGTTCTTTCAACACAACACAATATCGTTATTGTTCATCAAAAATATGTTCAACTTCTAGTCCAACGTGGCGAATACAGTTTTGAGGCATCTGAATACCTGCAATTAATATAGATTGCACTCACAACACGGATTGCTGAAAATGTGAGAGTTCAGGTAATCTTGAACGATTTTCGTCTCTTAATTTTGTCTATTCTATTGTGGTATCATGAAAGCAAGCAACTTCTAGGTAATCTATAAACTCATAGGTAACTCCTTCTACGCCGTCCAATTCAACTCCGATATTCATCCAATCGATCTGAAAGGAAATTGGGTGTCGGAACACTTCAGATAGGATATATCATTTTTAGTCGACCCATTGTTCAATCTCCCATCCTTTGATATCGTCCTTTACTAGGAGCCTTAATCGCTCGACTACAGGATCTGATTAGCATCTGCAACATGAACATCAATGATAGGAGTGGGCTCACTTTTCCACTCTGTATACATATGCCTGGCTGCGTTGGCTGCGACACGGTGGTGTGGACCCACGCTACCAATTTTCGCATCTCGAGAACTACGCCAAACACAAGTTGCAAGATTTCGTCCGTTCTTGTCAGGTACTCCGAACCAGTACCTACAGGCTGTCAGTTTATCTGCCGCATACCTGGGATTTGTTAACCTACTTGAGAAATCCTCCACTTTCGGTCGCCTCGGCGTGGGCAGCTTTGTCAAGAGCACCAAGATCAGAGTAATGAGCGACAGTTTCCGGCGGGACTTGAGATCTGAAAACAACAATGTAAAAAAATTCCTCTTTCCAGGTGTAATTGGAGGCTTTTGCCAACTCTCCAAGAGAATCTATGACTTCTTGCCACTAAAGTAAGTTCGGTTAGTGAACCTGAAATTTCAAGACTTGAGTCAGGAGATTGGAGAACATACGTTGAAAGTTTCAATATATGGCGCAGTTGCATAATCTTCTCTCAGACATTTCAATCCAACAAGCGCTCTAGCAAGCAATTGATTTGGTGTATCCAAGGTATCGAGATCTAGTAGATGAGGTTTTTCGTCGTATGGACTGACCACCAAGTATCTATCCTCATTCAAGCTATCATTCTTGCTGCTTGAAACGGGATATTTCAGTTCAGTTGAAGATTCGAGTGCACTGGAAATTTCATGGCGTTCAAGTTCGTTGAAAGGTAGAGTAGGAGATGTAACAACGGCCATGATGTATGGAAGTATCGAAATTTTAGGTCTGATCAATTTTAGGGAATTGTATAGGAAGAGGAGGTGAGTTCGAAAAAGATGTTTTGAGGATTGAAGAAATGGATCGATATCTTCTAGACTATACTGGAACGAACCTATGGGAAAGTCGAAGATATAAGAATTGGAAGGGAAAGGTGAGTCGAGGAAGGAGCGTCCAGGACGCAATTGCCCAAAAAGATACCACGACATGGTTTTGGATCAATAATATACTACATTTAATTATTTTTTTGCGGGGGTGTCGTCCGTTAAATGACTCAGGATGGTACGAATCACAGTCCCTATTGCGCCATTCTCGGGTGTGGAAGACAATCACGCCTTTCTTTGTTTCGATTGTAAAATCAGGGGAATCATAAATAGCCCTATAAGGAACAAAGATCTACCAACGTTACATGCGGGCATCAAAGACTTCATGGCATTGTGAATGAACTTTATTTTTGGAGCCTCATGTATATTATATAATACTAATTTGAAAGTTCGGACGCCATGACACCCAAAACGGTGAATTGTAACTGCAACCTGCTTACTGCAAGCTGAATTGTCCACGTCGCCAATTCTTCAGTATCTTGATCAGAGTTTTGATACCTTGCATCAAACTCTATCTGCCCATTGGACTTGGTTGGAGAAGATTTAGAGTTCCAGAGATTACTCAGACCGACCGGGAAGCCTAATTGGGACGCTTGAGCTGGAACGTTTGACCTCTCCATAACTGGTAAATGGTAATAGATACTCAATGAGCAAGGTGTTTCATTCGAATTCATCTTCATTTCACTAGCACCATTTTCAATCGAATCTTGGATGGCTTCTTCTCGGTCATGAGATGAAGATTCATTCGAAGTTTTGTGTGGTCAGACTAATAAATTATAATTACTTCTTTGTGCACGTTTCAACATCTTTGACACTTCTCCGTTTGACTCGACCGGATCGATTCGCCTATGTAGAGTTTAAAAAGACATCATCTTTGCAATAAGATCCGCATCATTTCTATAGTTTGCTTGGTCTACATTAACGAATCTCCTTAAATTCGCTTGCACTACTGTCACTAATGTCACTATCAATAGCTCGGCCTATCAGCCTGCCTGATGACAATTGATACTGTCGCTAGCTAGAAATTCCATCGAACCAATAAACTTCTCATAAGTCCGCGCAAAAGTGAAAGCAAAACTGTGTGTTGATGTCGTGTATGATTGTTTCCACCAAGTCGAAAATCGGATAAGCTTGGCGATATTCGAATATTGAAAGCGCACGCATATAGAGAAAGAGCCATCGGGGGGTCATGGACCGCAGAACTCTGATTGTCCACATGGAATTGAATGTAATCTTTTGGTCCCATCTTTTGGTCCCATCATCCTCCTATCGTACATATACCTAAGGGACTCTGTCAAAAATACCTGTGGCATTGTAGACGCAATTGGGCCACTATCCCCAGATTAATGAACCTCCGTCTTAAACTTTAGGCTCCCGTCTATCTCCCAGCCAGACTCTTCCACTTTCATAAGACCCTAAATAGAGGCCGCTACCCAGTGCCGTCCAGCCGGCTCTTAAAATAGCACCTCGAAACAATCCTTTCATGCCAGCTTCCGCAATAACTTCCCGAGCAATAGTGAGACTGCCCTTTTTCTTCCCTCCAAGGTTATCAATGGATTGACCTCTCTTCTTGGCTTCCTCTATCTTCTTCTTTGCTTCACTCTCAGAGTTTTCTCCTGATGCTGCAAGCATAATCCGGGTCTTCACTACGTCGACGGGTGTTGTGATCACAGCTGCAATAGATCCGGCACTTCCAGCACTAACTGCTGTTATTGTTGCTGTCTCGAGCAACGAACCGGTCAAAGTTCCATTCTGCCTCCGGTAGTTCTTAATCGACTCTTTCATGTGCTCAAACATGGGAAATTGCATTGCGGTGAACGGGAGATTCCGGGCAGCTAATGCCGTGTATCCTGTGAACAACTGCGAAGGTCTTTTGAACTTCTTCAATGCCTGCATAGTAACTGAAGCCCCAGATGTTGAGGAGTGGGCTGGCCGACGAATCATCTGTGCATTTTGCTTCAACACCTCCGCAGGAGTCAATATGAAGCATGATACCAGTTCAGCTACCGCCGAAGCTGCACTGTGCACAAAAGGTTGGGGTATCAGTGGCGTGCTGCTGCTACCGAAGCTTGTATTTGCTTTGGTGAGAACAGATTTTATTCCTTCATACGTGGTGAAGAATGCTCCTGCTGTGAAACATTAATATTAAGGTAGATTCAAAAACTCAGGAGCTCATACATGAAGGTATGGTCACCAAAATTACAGGTCCAACTCCTTGATATAAACCTCGAAATAGTAAACCACGATTGATGGCTTGTTTCGATGCATCAAAGTAGATCTTTTTATAATCTGGACTTTGGAATCGGGTCTTAAGAGTATCCAAAGGGTATACTAGAAGGTCGACAGCTACTGCTGCAAACGCTCCCGCCTACGAGTTGTGTTAGAAACGTGATCAAAACATTCCAAACCAGAGATTTTGTATGAAGCTAGAAATAAAGTACAGTGTCCCCCAGTGAAAAAGGGAAAAAATGGACAGCTTGACAGTCCTTGGCGCTTTATCATCACTGCTGTTGGAATTTTGTATATCTTTCCCCTAGCTCGCCGGGACCCAATTAGAAGCCATTTGGAGGGGTAATTTTCCCACGCAAACACTTGCTTGCTTTCGCTGTTACAAATTTTTATGAACCAAACAAACTTACAAGAAGAACATCTGTATGTGAATTCGACATTTGAAATCATAATGAAGAGAATGAAAGACTTCAATAAGAAATGTTGGAAGTAAATGAGACATGGACCCCTCCGACCATCGTCATAGAAGGGAGCTTTATCGGACGCTAAGATATGATGTATTGTAATCAAAAAGAAAGTCGAGCTCTCGCCTCAGCTTCATTTGGCCACTCAGCACTCGGGCAAGCAAAATCAATTTCGCAGATAAACCACATACAACAAAACCTCCCTGTTTAATTTTATTACTTTCACACTGGCGAACTGGTTTTGGTCAACAACCTCGCGAGCTGAGGTTATTAGAAAGACAGCTCCCCGAGAGACAATGGCGGAACCTGCTCCAAGACCACAAACATTAACTCCCCAGTTTTGTTTCTCAACAGTTGCGCTGAGAGGTATTCCAATGTCTTTTCTTGTATTATACACAACTAGGACTAATATTCTGTAGATTTTCTTCGTATATCTCGCGCCTCAATTGACGACAGTATAACACAAAATCTCAATGCGCTCGTAACACCTTCGAGGGAAGGGTTTGACCCCTCATCTACTTCGATCCGCAATCCTCGATCCCCTCGCTCAAAACAAATACCTTCCACTGCATGTCAGAAATTTAAGGAATTGGCTTTATTTCCTTCGTGGCAGACAAGATCAGATGTGCTGAATTATTGCGCTTCGGTTGCTACGAGTCCGGACCCCGATGATCCAGATTTGCTGGAGAGACAGGTTGAGAATGCTAGGGATAGGGAGAGGGTGGTGGATGAGAGATTGGATCCGTATTCTGCCAGATTCTTC